ACTTCATCTGTATCTATTCTGTTAAACTTACTGTTAAATAAAACTTCAATCTGTATCTATTCTGTTTAAACTTACTGTTAAATAAAACTTCAATCTGAATCTATTCTGTTTAAACTTACTGTAAAATAAAACTTCAATCTGTATCTATTCTGTTTAAACTTACTGTTAAATAAAACTTCAATCTGTATCTATTCTGTTTAAACTTACTGTTAAATAAAACTTCAATCTGTATCTATTCTGTTTAAACTTACTGTAAAATAAAACTTCAATCTGAATCTATTTTGTATAAAGTAACTGTTAAATAAAACTTCAATCTGAATCTATTCTGTATAAACTAACTGTAAAATAAAACTTAAATCTGAATCTATTCTGTTTAAACTTACTGTTAAATAAAACTGAGATCTGAATCTATTCTGTATAAACTAACTGTAAAATTAAACTGAGATCTGAATCTATTTTGTACTAACTGTCAAATAAAAATTGAATCTGACTCTATTCTGTTTAAACTTATTGTAAAATAAAACTGAGATCTAAATCTATTCTGTATAAACTAACTGTAGAATAAAACTTAAATCTGAATCTATTCTGTTTAAACTTACTGTTAAAAAAAACTTAGATCTGAATCTATTCTGTTTAAACTAACTGTAAAATAAAACTGAGATCTGAATCTATTCTGTTTAAACTAACTGTAAAATAAAACTGAGATCTGAATCTATTCTGTATAAACTTACTGTTAAATAAAACTGAGATCTGAATCTATTCTGTTTAAACTAACTGTAAAATTAAACTTAGATCTGAATCTATTCTTTTTAAACTAACTGTTAAATAAAACTGAGATCTGAATCTATTCTGTTTAAACTTACTGTTAAATAAAACTTAGATCTGAATTTATTCTGTTTAAACTAACTGTAAAATAAAAATTGAATTTGAATCTATTCTGTATAAATTAACTGTAAAATAAAACTTAAATCTGAATCTATTCTGTATAATCTAACTGTTAAATAAAACTTCAATCTGTATCTATTCTGTTTAAACTTACTGTAAAATAAAACTGAGATCTGAATCTATTCTGTTTAAACTAACTGTAAAATAAAACTGAGATCTGAATCTATTCTGTATAATCTAACTGTTAAATAAAACTTCAATCTGAATCTATTCTGTTTAAACTTACTGTAAAATAAAACTTCAATCTGTATCTATTCTGTTTAAACTAACTGTAAAATAAAACTTAGATCTGTATCTATTCTGTTTAAACTTACTGTAAAATAAAACTGAGATCTGAATCTATTCTGTTTAAACTAACTGTAAAATAAAACTTAGATCTGTATCTATTCTGTTTAAACTTACTGTAAAATAAAACTGAGATCTGAATCTATTCTGTTTAAACTTACTGTTAAATAAAACTTCAATCTGTATCTATTCTGTATAAACTAACTGTTAAATAAAACTTAAATCTGAATCTATTCTGTATAAACTAACTGTAAAATAAAACTTAAATCTGAATCTATTCTGTATAAACTAACTGTTAAATAAAACTTAGATCTGAATCTATTCTGTTTAAACTTAATGTAAAATAAAACTGAGATCTGAATCTATTCTGTATAAACTAACTGTAAAATAAAACTTAAATCTGAATCTCTTCTGTATAAACTAACTGTAAAATAAAACTTCAATCTGAATCTATTCTGTTTAAACTAACTGTTAAATATAACTTCAATCTGTATCTATTCTGTTTAAACTTACTGTAAAATAAAACTTTAATCTGTATCTATTCTGTTTAAACTTACTGTAAAATAAAACTGAGATCTGAATCTATTCTGTTTACACTAACTGTAGAATAAAACTGAGATCTGAATCTATTCTGTATAAACTTACTGTTAAATAAAGCTGAGATCTGAATCTATTCTGTTTAAACTAACTGTAAAGCAAAATTTAGATCAAAGTCTATTCTGTTTTAACTAACTAACTATATCTGAACCTATTGAATATGAATATTTTAATTCGAACTCTCAAGTGGAATTATAAAGTGACCCTAGCTCAATAAGACAATTCAAAAAGGTGATAATATTTAGATAATGTTATCAATTATTGATCACCTTGAAGTTGAATAATGTTGATATTGAATTTATTGACCACTGATTTAACTACTTGAGTATGTGTAAATCTATAATGTTCGAGGGAGACCTGTATATGCCAAGAAATAATAACACATGAAAATGGAAGAGATAATATCTAAAATTTGGTGATCGTTTCAATGATACTTTATCACTTGATAGAGCTTAATGTGTAGAATAATGAGGTAAGTCAAAAAATAATGACAGACCTAATATAACCCCATACTTAAGTCTAGTCTCCACTTTTATTGTGTTTACATTACGTTATCTCTTAGGTAATACGGGCATGGAGAATGTGTAGACGACTATCCCTTTATTCCAGATAGAAAATATAGGTACATATAATAATTTATCACATTCACATCCGTTGCCGGATTAAATATTACAAAAACACTCGATTAAGATCTTCTATCTAATACATTACCTTCTCCATGACAAAACACAGCAATAGCAGACGATTTGCAGTAAGAAAAATCTCCAATTGCATCTACAAATGTCCAGTTTCTGTTACCATAAGCAGTGATATTTGGCATCACTGTTTTTTGTTCGTAATCGGTAAAGACATCAAATTTGGTGTGCCAAAATTGAAAACTAGAACTTTCAGCCTTCATGTCAAAACTCTCTCCATCCAAATATCCAAGTTCCAGACAAATAATTCTGCCTAGTAAATCTGTATATTTCTGATTTCGGCTCGGACAGACGGAATAATAAGCATCGCGAATTAAACCGCTTTGTGACATTTTAACGAATCCATAGTTTTCTTTTCCTGACTCTAGTCTTAATTTGTAACCTGAAACAAGGGAATATTTATTATTTTTTTCCTTTGTCCCACTGTAGCTATGGGCCTGACAAATACGGTAGCAGAATGGAATCATGTGATCCAAAGGTTGATTCCAGTCACAGAGTGGGGCCAGGAAATGCGGGGGGTTGATTTTGTAAAGTGGGCTATCAAAGCTTCAGACTATGAACGTTTATAATCTTTATAAGGTCATATCAATTTCAACGGGTCAAGGGTAGCGAGGGCTATATTATCTATTATTCAAATCTTTTAGAGACCAAATTACTGTATCCTGGTAAAGTGGACAATACAGATGTACTTTATCGGCTACCCATCCTGAGTTCGAATGATTAAAAATATGTTTAGCAATAAATATAAATTTCCCAAACGCCAATCAGATACTTTTGCTTGAAATAAATACAATACTTACCTGATTGCGTTGGGCTTGCAATGACTGTACCTGACCATAGACACAGCAAAATTATATGAGGCCTGAGATTCATAATGTGAAAGCTAGTTTGAATCTGCAAAAAAGGCAACGACAACTAAAATATTTATCTTAACGCTTGGCAGATTGTTCTTTAATATAAGAGATAAAAAATTGCAGTCAGAATACCTAGATTCCATATTGTGGATCTACATGCAAAGATATCGTATGTGTAAATATCAATACGAACCTTGTTTGCCTGTTATGGTGTTAAAATGAAATAATGATTGGGAAAGCGTCTAGAATATTGATATTTAGTATTCATTTCGACATAAATTCCCTTATCAAAGTATGATAACAGGGCATACCACATTGCGAAACTGTTATCAACTAAACAATATCAATTTATGGCAGAAATTAAAATAGTAAGAATGTGAGTGTGCTATAGGCCTAAGATTAGGCACATATCTCTGTTCAGGAACCTGCTAATTGTTTTCGTTAGTCCAAATTGGATTAGAAAACAGTTCAATTGTGTTTCCTGACTACGAGTATGTGTAAACAAAGACATTGAAAACAAAACCTTCGTACGATACGGGACCAAAAATATTAATTGCATTATTATGTGTCAGAATTATCCCCTAAACGCTTCAAAGCTTGGGACTTGACAAATAGACTTAAATGTGAAATGCCGGAAGTAAAGAGTCTTGCCCAAGAAGACACAACGAATTTCACCTTTCACTTCCGAGACAGATTCAGCTTTACTGAAACTGCCGAGGAAAGCAGAATATACAAATGTAATGATTAGTGGCGTTTCCTCTAAATTCCAATAAATTTTGCTGTATGTAAATGTAACCTCCCTTGGCAATATTCGAAATTTGATGAAGTTGCCTCCCTTCAACTAGAATCACTAGTCCCATTTTTGGCGCCAACTGTTGTTTGAGCTTCACCAATATTGCTTTAAAATTACTCTTTCTTAGCCTATAAAGTTGACCTGCCATTCTGCAAAACCTGTAATAATTCTTTTTTTATGATGTTTTGAGTTCATTTTAGATACATGTCTGATTGAGTCAAGATTCTATGAAATTGAAATCAGAGATACTACCATGGTAAAAATGGTGGTTGATGTTAATGTTGGTTTCCTTCTTGTAATTGAATAATGTCAAAGTGATAAACTTTTTATTTCACAACAATCAAGATTACAACAATTCACTTGATAACAATATCAAAATATATTCAGGATATAATAGCCTATAATATATCGTAAAAAATATGGTGATAATAGGTCATATATGCATATCAATTGCGCAATAGTTGACCTACTGGCTCGTAGATAGCCCAAGGTAATTAAAGGAAGGAGCTTACAAGTGGATACCGTACTTTGATCATCAAGCCTGCCTCTGTATAGTGTTATAACAAGATGTTTTACCTCACATGTGCATATACACATACTCTAGCAAAACATTTCAACTCTTTCACCATGTGGGCTATAAATTTCTTATGTGCCTTTTACACATTTCATAAAAATTAAATAGGCCTAGGCCTACATATATTATGTAGAATTGAATAGTTAGTTTGGTTTTGTCTGCTTCCTCAGAAACAGAAAAAAAATCTTAATATATGGTCAAAAAGCTGAACTAACAAGACACAGAAATAGATTTGACATTTATAGATGCAAAAGTCTCTGGTATATTAAAATGATCAAAATCATTACTTTGCAAGTATTTAACATCAATTGTCTACTTCTTTGGTAAACAAATAATATAGATATTTAATAACAAATAACAGTAAACAAAAATAAATTCATTACAGAAAAATAACAATATTATAAATAAATAAATAGATTTTGATATGGAATTATCACACAAATAAATAATAATCACAGTAAAATCTTACACCAATACCTCACATGTGCATCCCAGTTAACAATATTTCATTAAGTTGTAATGTATATAAATATAATAATTTAAATGTTTGCTTTGTAATTCTAATGTTAAGTTATTAATGATATTATCATTGAAAATTCAGTTGGTCCTCAGCCTTTGATCTTGACAGAAAATTATTTAACTTTGGTGAATTAGTACAGGAAGTTCCATGGAAGAAATGTAAATAGCACTCAGTACTATAATCCCAATCCTTAATGACAATGATAAGCAATGTGAATTGTATGTCATGGAAAGATGCTGTACAAGTTATTGCCTTAAAGATTCTTAAAGCTATTACTGCTTAGAAAAATTCATTCTTCTTTAAAGTAGAATTTGCTATGGATGGCATGGATAAAAGAATTAAGCTGTATCATGTAGACAAGCTATAATATGTAGATGACTATATCCTTAAAAATTTCCTACTTTATCTTTCCAGTACAGTAAATGTGATTGCTCCTTGCTTCCTGATATTAAATTTGATAGTCTAGTATAATCTAGTCTCTCTCTGGGTCATCTAGATGAGGTTGATAACCAAGAGGAATTTCAGCCCATGCTTGCCTATCTCCTGATGCAAAGACCCCATAAAAGATTGCACCAACACCATATATAGATGCTGCTAAATAGAATACGACTCTCCACATTGACTCACCTCCCTGAAATTTAACAAAATCATGTATTAAATTAATTAAATTTATGCATTTATATATTTCTATAAATGATAGGATTCATTTCCTTATTTCTTGAAGTTAAATAGGGTGGGGTGCAACTCTCCAATTCGTGGTTTAAAATAATTCAGCAAAGTAGCCAACAAACTATTTTAATTAGGTATAAAATAAGATTGCATTGCCATATGATATCCAATAATCTTAGTCATCAAGAAGTATGAAATATGGATGCCATGATGTTCTCCAAAAGAAAGAAAGAATTTAGTTACCATGCTGACTATAGCACCAGTCAGACTTGGACTGATAATTCCTGGTAATGTGGCAAAGGTGTTGGATAGTCCCATTAATATACTGGCATATTGTGGAGCAATATCTAGATGGTTAACACCAACTCCAGCCCAAAAGAAACCACCTAAACCAACAGCTATAGTAAGACAAACTATAGCAGCTACTGGTGTCATTAAATACCCTGCTGTTATCATAAATACTGACTGGATTGCAAATGCTGAAATGAGATGTACAGCACACAATATAAGGTTAAGATATATAATATTGCTGTAGAATGAAAAGATACCTGGGTATGTGAAAATCTTGTCAATTAATCTGATTCAAATGTCTATTTATTGAATTCAAAGTATATGATATATATTTTTAAAAAATGTACGTTTTCAATCATCTGTCTGATCTAGATATCTATCCTATAGTGATTTAAAGCGAGATATCTATCCTATTGTCTGTCTGCAACTGTCTGTTGAAGCTATATTATACATGTATATCTATTCTATTGTCTGTCTGAAGATATCTATCCTATTGCCTGTCTGACGCTAGATTAGATATTTATCCTATTGCCCAGCTGCTGATTACATTTTAAAACCTAACATATCTGCATTGGTTATTTAGATTAAGAGTGCCTACCTCCACAAGTGAAGAGTTTTCTAACTAGCGTTGTGCTAACATTAAAATTAGTTCTCAATATATCAGCTAATTGTCCACTAAACATTACAACTAATCCTAGTACTAAATATGGTAGTGCTGACAAAAACCCACTCTACAATTATAAACATAAACTCTATATAGCTTGACAGTACTAAAATAAAATAAATAGAAAATGAAGTCCTACATCTTCCTTCTCTGCTAGTAATAAGTGTTGATGAAGAAAGGCAATGTCATGCAGTGTAAAAATGAAGCAAATTTTGCAATAATGGTGGTGTGGCATTAGAGTCTACTCTTCCATCATGTAATCTTTGATTATATAAAATCATTCATGTTCTCATTATATATGATTTATTCTCAATAAATTCCAAACACACAAGGTTTTACTTACATTTTGTATACGGAAATTCAGAACATCATTCATGAATGTAGGCAATTCAGTCAACCAGGTGTAAAAACCCCAATTTTCAGCAAAATGTGCTAAACACAATGCCCATACTGGAATTGAGGTAAGAAGTCTAGCCCAAGGTGGATGAATCCTCTGAAAATAGCAATAGTTGTAACTTTATAAAATGAATTGAAATGAATGGAGCTTTACATCCTACTCTTGTGCACCTAATTGATATCATGAAGATAGACAATGTCTAAGACAGCGGCATTAGGATACTCTTTTTCAATTTCCAAGTGTCAAGGGATCTTTTACGGGTACTGTATGGTACAGCCTGTAGCACACAGGACCATGGTGTATTGTCCCATCTGATTGACTTATAACAGCTGTGAATAAATTAACATTTCAAAAGTATTTACAGCCTGTATGATTTGTATTAGTAAAATAATATTCACTAGACCATAGTTCTTCCTTAACATGAAAACTTACTTTAGTTTGTTCATCAGTATATCCTATAGTTTGTTGTATGTATTCTAGTTCAGCGTTGGTTATAGAGGGATGTTTTGCTGGACTTTCAGTTACTAGTACACACCATACCATAAACCATAAAATACCTATACTACCTGTAAAATACCAATTATAACCTTTACACAAGGTGCCTGTGTTCCTTGGAAATCCATAAACATGGAATTGGGATCCATGCCTTTCATGATTTTTTAAGAATATTCTTGACAACCCTTGATTTTTTTTATGGTAGGCTACAATTTGTTTTATTGAGAAAATCTTGGGAGTCTGGAATCTAATTAAATGCTTAACTTACCACAAACATAGAATATAGAAGGCCAACCAGCAGGACTATGAGCTAAAGCTCCAGATATTGGTAATGATATAACAGTTCCTATATATGAACCTACAAATTATATCAGATAATTCTACAATTACAGAACACAGAGATTTTTCAAAGCTGTGTATAAGCTCAGTGGATAGCTCATGAACCTTTGCAAGAAGTTTGAGTGGTCATTTGCTAAAGGGGTATTCTTTAGATAGCTTAAGATAAATGTGTATTTTCTAACACACAAGACATCTTTGCCGGCTCTCCCAATTTTAGATGATGATCCCCCTTTTACATAAAGCAAGGAAGTAGTGGATATAATTGTTATCCCCCTTTAATCATTTTTGAAACTATTTTCCAAGCGCACAGTGAAATGATCACAATATTAAAACTAACTTTGTGTAGCAAAGAACACAAAGGAATAATTATGGTATAACTCACTTCATTAGTAACAAAGAACATAGCCTTTCAACACATTTACACATGCAGTGGACACTTTGTGGACTCAAACAGGCTACTAATACCGTCACACAATAGCATAAATGTAAAATGTAATGTAGATGAGAGTGAGCTGGTCTTGCATCCACAACAGGCCCACAACAGACTCAATACTTAATAAATAAGGTTACTTACCAGAAAAGGCAAATGTTGCCAGTTTAGATCTTTCTTGAGGTGGAGCCCATTTAGACCAAATAGCATGAATGGCTGGATAGGTTACACCCTGTGGAGAAAACCATCATACAAGATATTTTCATCATTTTTTTCATTTAGAGCAAAATTCTTCTAGTTTAATAATTTGTTTGTCCAATTTGTCTAATTGTATGACATGTTTCATTTGAGGATACTCAGTAGCATGCATGTTGTAAATTCTTTGATTTTAATTGCGTAAGGAAAGAAAGACAATATCATGTAGTGGATAATGAGAGAAATTTGCTTGGAGAGCAGCAGTTGCATAATCAGCATTCATGCTTTTCAATTTCTAATGGCGTGATCTTCAAACTGAACAGTAATAAAATAATTTTTCACCCTTCACAAGATTAAAAGCCCTGTCTTTAGTCCTTGCATTACATTACTATCATGGGAAAAGTAATATTAAATATATTAAAAATATATCATAATTTGCATCAAAGAGTAGGGAGAATATATATGCAAAATATCTGGGGAATATGCAAATAATGGCTACCTCACAAAATCCCTGCAGTACTCTAATAGATATAAGTAGATATACACTCCAGGTTACAAATAAAGGAGTTAGTAATGATAACACAGCAGTAATAAATATTCCACCACCAAAAAAATATTTCCCTCCATACCGATTAGCTAATAGTCCTACAAATATTAAATACATTATAAGTTTAACACTTTCCTAGACCATCATCTACATTTAAAAAGCCAAGAATAGACAAGAGACTTGCCTGGTGCGGTATACGATTATTGATACAGTTGCAAATAGTAGAAACGAATCAGTACCCATTTCTTGTGCATTCACTTGCTTATCCTGCAGCAGACACTATCTCTATTCTAGGCTTAAAGCTAATTAAGTTATGGTTTAACCTCAAACAGATAACATCATTTCTTTTCACCAATGGAATTTCCCTGCAGAAATCTCAGAGAGGGAAGGGCTCTTTTGGGATTTATTCAAAATAAGCAAATTTTCAAGTGTAATCTAGTTTTGCCATTTATCTTAAAGCTAGCTGTGTACTCATACTTTCAATTTGTGTCACCATTTTATGATTTTTTTTTCTTGACTCATAGTATATATGTATTCATTTTATGACCCTAAAAATTATAATGGTGGATAATGGTAATGGTAAATAGTTGGAGGTTAATCTAGTTTAATATTATTCTTATCTAAAGAAAGCGAGCACAAAGAATAATACCATATTGAGCAAGACAACAGAAAATCTACAAAATGATATTATTTGGGTTGGTCCAGGATTCCAAATTTGAAAATCCTGAACATATTAATTGCATATTAAGGTTATTATGTGAAGAACCATCAAGGTGGATTGACTACATGTTAACATGCAATATCCTACCTAGATTTAGATGTATTAATCGGCAGGGTTCAATTTAGATTGGAAAATTTGATAAGCAGCTTATCACACCAAATTTTAGCATTGGTTAATCAAGTTAAAATTTTGAGTGGTACTATTTAAAAATATGGTAGCAATTTAAAATTTTCAGTAGTAAACTTTCAAATACTCAATTTGATTTGATTTGCAGATTGTGGTGATCTATTTGACTTTTTGCAAAGGCGATAATTTTGAATTGCGAATCATTGAGATAACGCTTGAATTGAACCCTGGTATTAGTTTTATTTGAAGTAAAAGAAATCATCTTAATACTTACCACCTGGTAACTGAGTTACGACATAACCCCAGAAGAAAGCTGATAAAATATGCCCTTGTAATTCTAAATCCCAGTTGTAATCAGCAGGCTTGAACTACAACATATTTTCAAACAATGAATTTTAATCTGACAGGTTATTCACAAGAATTCATAAAACCTATTGCAAATCAAAAGCCTCTATAAACAAATTTGATTTAAAATTGCTAAGACAAGCAGTACAGTACAAGATCTTTCCAATATACATTCATCACAATCAAATCAAAACTGTGGCCTTTATCACATTCAGAAGTCAAATCATTGGCATATCAAAATATTCTGAATACCAGTAAGTCTCATTCAAGATCTTTTATTAGCTTCCTACTTTCGTCACAAATCATATCTGCTTCAATTGAAAAGGGTAAGTAATTGAAAGTATGGCACACCATTATTGTATTGTCTCCTGTTTGTTTCTGCCTGTTTCAAAATATTTGAATTCATTTGGAATTTCAAAATGTCATGTTTTTCATTTCAGTGATGTTGATGTAACTCATTTAGCTTCCATCCATGTGTAATATTTAAAATCAAAATAAACTGTTCCAGGTCAAAGCCAATCCTCCATCCTCCGACAACCAAAAACTAAACTAAAAGGCATCTTGATGTATGACTCAAAGACATTTGAGTTACATTTCAGGACATATTTATTTCAGAAATATTTCAGAACGGGTACCATTGCCATATACAGTATATTTGTCTTTTCAACTAAAATCATACTGACAACTTCCTAATTTTCACACAATTAATAAGCTTATCTATTGCACTTTGACCTAGGCCTGTGTTTTCATTGAGACTTGTCTCAATAATCCTAATACCGTAGAGAGTATCCCAGTGTTGAAGGATCATCTCCTGTAGATACTTTAGCTGAACATCTATGGATCTACTGATCATGAGCATCAATCACAATTTTTTTTGCATATATTCTTCAACAAATGCATGGTGACAACATGGGGTTTTAAAAATTACAAAAGCTTCTTCCCTTAAATAGATTAATTGGAAGGTTCCCAGCATCTTACTTTGGCTGTTCATCCTTCTGCAGCAGATGTTATAATGTTATTCTATTCTTCATAAGAAATATTGTTTAACTTACCCCAACTGCTGTATTGTTGATAAAGATGGTTTTATTACTAGTCATAGCAACTATAGCTACACTTAAATTGACACGTAATGCATACACATTTGCTACAAAATATTTTATTCCAATTTAATGCATTTAATTTTCTTTTATTAATAAAATCATAATTTTCACAGTTTTTCTTAATGTAAGTGTTGGGACATCTTTATCAACAACAGGCCCATAGATAGAGGGTGCTCCCTCCCCTCCTACCAATCTAAATATCAATCTAAATTTATTTTGTTTAGTAATTTTGCCCAGAGAAAAACATACCAAAATTCAAAATGAAAGTAATTTTACATCCTACTTACCAAATCCAAGGAATGCCATGAAAGACACAAGATAACGTTTTGGCACCATACATGTTATACTACTAGCAGAATTTTCTTTAGGATAAGAACCATTTATTTCTTCATATTCATGAATAGATGTTGGTCTTTTAGCTGCAGTCGCTTTTGGAATATTTGAAGTTCCAGTAGTTTCCTGCTCACTAGCTTGTGGATCTAGTTTTTCTGTATCATCAGATGACATGATGGGAGAAGCTGAAATATGTGTATATTTGTATTTACCAGTCAACTTGTTATAGAACATTAGACTGAATTCATTACCTGTACACTATTTGATGAATAACATTATTCATGCATTATGTAGATTGACTTTATGCTTTGTGATTGTACGAAACTATTATGTATGGTTTTGAAATTGAAATAACCTTGGTCAGGCTGTTACAGTTTCAACTGGTATTATGATTTGTACATATTTAGGAGTTATTAAAAAATTCATATTTAATTATAAAAACTATATAACTAATGTCATTCACATGCTTATGTGTAAGGTGTGCCAAGCCTACCTTACAAGAATTAACTTTAAAAAACGAATAATTCACTTCCATATCAAAGAAAAGAGGGAAACAAAAAAATTTATTATCAAGATGGTAACAGGCTTATGCAAAAAATACTACGCCATCTAGCTTTATTTTTAACACAATGCCAACTTCTTGGTTTGTCTTCAAGGCTACTCAAAATCTAAGTCATATTTCCATATTATGTTTGCTCAAGAGATAAAACGCTGAGAGACATCAAAATCAAGAAAATCTCTCTAAAATTCAAAAGAGAAATATTGACAAAAATGATTTCGGGAACCAGAGCATGACATTATGACATTAGTAGCCGCTTATCAAATATTGTATAAAACATATGTGCCATATGGCTCCATAGAAAACTCAATATAACCCCTTTGATTGTTACACAATGGATAACATTGTTGCAATCATGTGGATATCGGCAAACAATCAAACAACCAACACCTTATATATCCCTTCCTGCATTATACAGTACATTTACCTGTTAAATAATTTCTTAAATATTAATTCCTACTGATCAAGCCACTGACACGTCCATTGCTTCTATCTCATTATGCAAAGTGTCTTCCTCGGGTGATTCCATTTGACAGGGTGCTTTAATTACCATCTGTCTTGGAAATGCGTGTTCAACTGATCATAAATTACGATTAATTTTTAATATATTTTATTAGCCATTTGTAATTGATTACATATCTTTGTTTATATCTTAATATTTACTGTGAGTCAGTGAATCAAATTGGTTTTAAATTTTCATGGACTTAACATAATTGCATGGCAGACGAAAAATATTCAACCAATCAGAATGCTCTATTCGTTTAGTAGCATGACGTCATATCCTTCAGTCTACCACTATTATACAGTCGTCAGTCGTCCATTTTACCTCGTATAGGATATTTTTTCTTGTGTTAAATCCCTTCAGTGGAGTATAATTTGTTCAAAATGGGGCCAAAGTACGGGCCGAAGGTGTTTGCTCTTGTTTTTACCCTCGTGCAGGTCAGTGTAGCTTATATGGAGGTAATTTATCGTCTTTTTTCATGTGAATTTCTGACTTGTGTGAAATTCCATTCCAGGCCATTGTCATGTATTTTCTCTCTATTGTGTGATGAGTGAGTATGTAGTGATGATTTCAGTCCCGTTATAAATCGGCGCTACAGGATGGGCGCGGTATAACCTCTCTACATGGCTATTATCAACTTATCAATTTACTTTTATTGTCTTATAATTGGATTAGATAAATCACTCTAATTGAAGATAAAATTTATACAGGGGATCAGGGGGAAAAGGCCTCAGGAATTTTAGTTATCCAGCAACACTGACAGTAGTGACATTGCCTGGAATGCATTACTGATTGCATTGTTAGTTAGTCATACTTTGTGCAACAATGTATTCATATAAGTTTACCATCCATGGAAATAGTATATTATTGAAGGTCTTCAATGTTCAAATGTAGAAATATTTACTTATGCCATCTGACCATAACTAATATATTTTGACAACTACATATAATAGGTTGTCTCAAATAAACAGGTCCCACAAGTATCCACTTGGATTTTCTTTTGAGTCATTAATAAAGTTTTTTTGACATATTTATTTTGTTTAATATTAGAGTTTATTTCATTGCATTAAATTAATCTGCATTCCTTTTACTTTGATCACATTTGCTTTTAATTGAACCAGAAAATACAATCCATTGAAATGATATGCAGAAAACATATTTCCTTTTTTTATCATTTAAAATCCATTTTTATTAGGCTAAGATGGTCTTTTAAATGTTGGATTCAATATGACTTTTTCCAATTTAAAAGTTTGACAGGTTGCTTTTACACTAGTATATGACCTCGGAACTAGGTTTTGATTAGATGTGGAAGAACTATCACTTTTAATCTCTAAATAAATACTGTAAGGTATTTGATAGTACGGAATGAATATATCTTGAATATTTAATAAAGTGTTGGTTTCCTCACGGCATGAGTCATTGTCGATTCCATTCCTTTCCTATGAAATGTTTCCTAATGTGCAGTAAGCTATTATCATGTATTGGATTGGTGTGAGTCATATTATGTGACATTTGCCATGTCATCAGTATTTCAGTAAAAAAGTTTGTAAGGAAATTAATTTTTTACCTGTTTGAAATATTTCCTATTTACACCCATTGTAATAGAAACAGCAAGTGTTCCTTATGGGTTTTGTAGAAAACAACCTATAATCATGTCTGAGCTTTTGCTCCTTCCATATTGACTAAGTTGTAAATTCCAGACTTACATTTAGTACACATTCAATTTGATATTTGAGAAAATTGTCATTAAGGGTAATTGGTTTTCCATTAGATATAATTTTGGTATTAAATGGATTTTACTTAGTAACCAAATTGGAATTATCAGATAGACAAAAACCTAGGACTTATTACTTCCCATGTCAGGTGTTTTTGGTGTAGGACTTGCAGTGAATTCTTTGTCCTGAAAATGCTATGTTAGCGTCACTTTTGTCACTCTTTTAGAAGTATCAGCCGGTGTAGTGTGAATAAATACTGTTTTGTCTGAGTTGAATGATTGAAGTGTTCATATGATATGAGAAATTGGCTGTCTTCACTCTGTCACATTGACAACAGCTGTTTTTCTATTCTGTTCTATTCATGTCTTTTATTATCAGGTGAACTGTTTATTATGCAGAAAATAATCTATAGTTGAATCTTTACAAAACTATTGGTCTGTTTGATATATTGATAGAGCAGTTCTTTCTTTGATGTGCACAGTCTGTAGACAGACAGTTGACGCAAAATTCTTTTAACATGTTTGTGAATCTTTGAAGGTTTTTTTCAGATGATTTATGACCTCTTAAGTTCCAAAATCCACAATTGTCTGATAAATCTGAATTCAAGTTTATTTACCCCTGTGCCTTTTATTTTAGCTCTATAAATTTCAAACAGGAAGGTAATAAAGGAAGTATCTTTAGATCAATCCCCAATGAACACCAAGTATTAAAATCTCGTGCTGTGATATGAGTTACCAGATAATATTGATATAATATTCAGAAGTTTCTAGTTATCACTATAATAATATTAATGGTTTATTTTGGCACTACTTTTCACCATGGGGAATCAAAGATAAAACAGTAGGCTCTGATATTGATACCTTATCATTCTGATCATAGGTAACTTATATCTTAGATTATAAATAACCTAAAGTCAAGCACTATTTCTACATCAATCTCTAGTCATGCGTTCTTCTACAATCTCAAGCCAAGCATTATTTGAAAGTTTGAAAGTTGTCTAATGCTTCACCAACTGAATGAAGTACATATAAAAGCAAATGACCAGCTTATTTGTATTTCATTGTAGAAATATAGATGTATTGATTGTCGGATCCATGGAAACAAATTTCCTTTCATAGACCCTTTCAACAATTTTCAGACACAATTGTCAAAATATTTTGTTATCAACCAAAAAGAACTACCACCTCTTCAATATTGGACTATAACTGATATAGTTTAGATGTTGAAAGGTGACTTAATGTAGGTCTATAAAGATGATTTAAACCTATTTTATTGATTTTATATGTCTGATCTCAGTGACCCTGAGTCAAAAAACTTATCCATCCATTATATTGAAGAAAGTAATGTCATTTGTATAGGATCTAAAACAACAGTTTCTAGTTTTTTCTACCAATATCTTATGTTGATGGTTGTCTGTAACCTCCATCTGTTGTGTTATTGTTAGCATGGAGCTTGATAGCTAGTGGTCTGGTGGTGTTCAGGGCGTTAATTTAATCAAACTGTGATTAACTTCTATTTTCTCTTCAATTTCCCTCTGGCTTTATTGGTTCCATCTTAATGAATTTTCTGGAATACTTATCTTCCCAGTGACTATTGACTATAGACTATATTTTGAATCAGTACAAAAGCCAGCAGATTCAATTCCCCTGATTTAAAATGCCTACAGCTTTACTCCCATTCATTCTTTTTATTTCCTTCTGGATTGCTTTTTTTTAAATAAACAATGAATGCAATGAATTTCACTTTCGTATGTTCAAACATTTACAGAATTCTGATTAACAAGAATCAATAATCTTTAGAAAATATTTGAGTCTGATTTGTTTACCCTACTGTTGGGTATAAAATTCACTTAAAATTTGTCAAGATCCAGTTTGTATGCACCTGCAATCCCAAAGGATAGAATAATACCCATACTTAATACCCAAGAGTAAATAATACCTTGATTAAAAAGGGTTTATCTTCACATGAATAATGCCTTTAATCTTTTAATGAAATATATATGACTGAATCAAATATGTTTTTGGTATAAAATTGAAAATAAAAATTTGAGTTTGTATGGACCTGTAATTCCCAATTCTAAATAGAGTAACAGAACTAACAGAGTAACTGTAAGAACCAAGGTTAAGAGTCTCTAGAGTACATGAATATATAGGGCTTGGGAGAGAGTTGACTACAATATTATGTCTCTACTTACTGTAATTCTATCAAAAATGTTGACCAGTGAAGAAAATATGGGAGAATTGTTATGGAGAGTTCCTAACATTTTGCTGATGTAGTATAGGTCAATCAGCAGGTTCTATTAACCCTATAATAACACATGTCAGATACCAGGGCGTTATGATAATAAGATGGAATGATAAATTGAATGTCAGGGGTTAATACCAACAGAATCTAGAGACCATGGTAATAGCTATAGTATGCTTCAATATTCCTGAGAGATGAAATTTGTCTCCAGTTTATTTGATGAGATTTCAAACTACTTCTGATATTTAAGTCTGGTTTTCACAAATTCTTTTGTTTGTAACTCATCAATTATTGTTAGTTAGTTCTCTGGTTATAGACAGTAGCTAACACTAACAGGCTATCTTACATTTGTATAAGAACACTAGCAATTAAGGATAAAAAAGATAGGTTTATGTCTAATGTAGAAAGACTTCTTCCTTTGTTTTTTACAGTGAACTGTATCACTCTGGACACCTACAAAGAATCAGATTTTATGTTAAGCATTGCAAAGGAATAGTACTCCATTATTTTGCCAGGAATGAAATGGTATAAATGGAGGCTGAAAACACATTCTTGATACACTTTTAGCTTATTTCTTTAGCACTGCTGTTTTTGTGTACAATACCTTATCTGGCAAGCAATCTTGATAGTTTAAAAGAAAAAATATGGAAATACCACCACTAAGAGCAATATTAGGAAGGAAAACTTATCTCATTATGAGAATTATTTGAAACTTCCTCCCACTTAAATTGTTGATAATTTCATTACTTCATTGACTAGTTTTAAAGGCGGTAGCACACAGATAACTTATATGTTTTATTCATGAAATTTCCTCATTTAAAGGGACAAATGGACCATTTTTAGGGGTTTATTTGAGTCTTAAATATATATAAATAGTTTTCAGAAGTACTAGGAATGAACAAAATCGCATAGTTTTTTTTATTCAAGACTCAATATATATGTCTTTTCTATATATTGCTGTGTATCATGAAAAGAGGACTCGTCTTTTTAACCTTCAAACGTGAATAACTCAAATTTCGAGCTGCGAAATAGTGTTGAGTTGTGGTAGGGTAATGTTGTGCTGTCAAACTTACATCTGAATAATCCAAATATATTAATCTGTCCAATCATATGGATATTATTGGCTATTAAATGAGAGCGTACAGAGATATCACTAAATAATCCCTTTGATATATTCCATTATATTCTATTCTCTATTGGGACCAAATAATTGTATTATAGCCAAAGTAAGAGTTTTGTATTTTTGTGGTAGCGCTTATTTGTTAGGAGATAGTGAGAAATTATATTGTGAATATATGTTTTTTCATTTTTTGTACATTAAGAGATTGAATATCTTCATTATCAGTGTAATTTCTATGGTGATCTCTCAAATAACATTACTTAAACACTTAGACCTGAGTAATTGGTATTGACAGCTGCATTCACATATTTATATAGCACAAGTTAAAAACAGGTAGCTTGCAGAATTTTGGCAGCGTTGTGGAAATGTTATTTATAATGAAGTATACTAAGTTAAATGAATGGTTTTTTTCTGTCTGTAGGGAGGTATGATTGGCTCAATGAATACCAGTAATCTTATTTGACATACTTTGTTGTTTATTATTAGCTTTTTACTGTTTATAACAGGCCACCCTGAAATTTACCCACTTATTTTCATCTTAAGACCCAAAATACAATAGAAGTGCGGAATTTCTGTTTTTGGCTGATTCTACGCAAGAGACCATAGTTGTATGTATCACAAGCAGCCATTTTGGTTCAGAATTTGAGGATTTGAACTTGAAATAACAATTTATTGGGAATTTAGCATCTAATTTAAAACATAAAATCTAAATTATGAAATATGTGTGAAACAAGTCTGTACAACTCTTATTAAACTTAAATAACTACTAAGGTCTTGACCCCTTGATATTTTCTACAATTTTTGTGAGCAGACAAATTTGCCTTCTTCTGAGTTTGAATGTCTATAATTAACTCTTTCGTAAAGAGTTCCGTTAACATGTGTCTGATACCAACAGATCATTTACACTATTCTTATAGAACTGTTCTCGGAACGTAGTGTAATAGGTAAAAAAAATTGGAATTTTATGGCCAGGTCTAGACCGAGTTCAAATGTGAATGGGCATTTTAACTCTAACGAGATTAATAATTTTTGCAATATCACTAAATTTAATTCTAGTCAGACATGAACAAAATGTAAATTAATTGACTAGACAGGAGAAGTACAATGTAGGTCAAAGTTAATTTATTGTTTAGTCAGACAAGTCTAGTTTGATAGCAAGGTTTAAAACACTGTTCATTCATGGTAATTATTTACCTTTCTTCACTAAAATCAATTTCATGACAACAATTTTGTCAACCCCTTAAACATGTTTAACATACCATAAATCATTGTCAAGAGGATAGGGCTGAAATGTAGTTGCACACTTACTGGTAACATAATGCCTATCCTTTTTTTTTTACAAACTAGCATAAAATACATATAAATATATATACTGAATAAAGCAATGTCTATGAATCAGAAAAAAATTAATTTATGACATCAACCCTCCTTGTAATCTAGATTATAGTTGAAATATGGAGGCCATGCAATAATATGAATATCAAATAAGTCAATTAAGGTACCATAAAAATAGTTAATGACTGAAACAGTTGATGTTTTGGCCAGAGTCCAATAGTATGTTTGATATTAATTCAGTCTCCACACAATGGCATATCTGCTGTCTGAAATTATGTTACAGGTGATATGAGTCATGAGTTAGGTGTGCACCTATTTGACATAGTGTAAACTAAGCTTTAATCCTGTATGTCTGGACTTTAAGATAATGTTTACTTTATACTATATCAACTCTACCAACCGGTTTCAATTTACTGGATAAGGTTTTATGGACATTTTTTCAGATACATTCACCTTTAGCTCTTGACCCAAATTACATTAAATTTGCTTGAAGCAAACCAGGTTCTCATATAGGAACAATTTGAAAAGCTATGTATAAGCTTACAAAAGGTTAGCCTATACTTTGTGTACAGGGCCAAGAATTAACATATAGTAACACCTGTATGATATTTTGGGCCCATATTCAGACTGATACCTCAAACACTTTTTCAGCCCTCTGATCTTGTTTTGAATTTTTGATAAGAGTTCTTGATTTTGGCTGTGCTATTTAAATAAATGGGGATGGTAATAAAATGTGGTGTTTTTAGAACAGGGTAACAGTTATACATATGTAAACAAAAGAAAATTGCTTATTGGACATGTCCAGCTTATTTCAGTATGGGCTAGAATGTAGTCAAGCTGAATTTATAGAATACCTGACCTATAACTTATCCACAACTGCAACCAGTTTTAACAAAATAAACTCTAGGGTCACTAAAGGTCACAGTGAATCTTTGGTCTTTTGTTGCAATTTCAAATGAAATACCTATCATGGTAGACATGTGATAATCAAACGATGGCAAATATTTTTAGAAATGACTGACAAATATTTTCATGTAAACCTAAAGTTTGATTGAATTTTGAAATGATACTTCCACACTAGTGATGTAAAATGAAAGTAAAACATACAGGTGTTGAAATAGAGGATCTGTTTATTATGGTGACTGATGAAATAACAACTGTATGTTAAATATTTCTAGTTTGTTTGGCCTATATAAAGAAGGAAGGGTTATTTTGAGACAGGATGATAAGTAGAGTCATTATAATTTCTTATATACTAAACTATGTCTCATTGACAATATCTACCTTTCTTGTTGTCAAACTAACTTGAAAACCTAGCCCAAATACCTTATAAGTAACATGTTTAAAGTATACAATGTCAAGTTCTGGATCGTTGACTAGGCTAACCTTTTAAGTCATTAGACCTGTTTAATGTACATAATAGTCTGAAACCAACCTGAAATAAGGGAGATGGGGTGACATTGCTTCTAGGTGATGGATTCAGTTAAGAATCGTAATGCAGCTCAAGATTTTCCACCTGTCTATCTCTTTGAAAGAAAGAGACATGTCTAATGTCTGTATGTGGCAGAAAGATGTCTGCGTAAGAAATGATATTAAAAACCATAGACATTGTTCCTCTAGGATGATAAAATAACATGTAGTTCCAGAATAGGCTTTTTGCTGGTATTTTGTATTAGATCTTAAAGAGATCGTAATGAGGTTTTTTCTAAACTTTTTATGTGTATCGGGTACACTAATAGCATCAATTTGAATCATTCCAATTTTCAGACGTCTGTGGTTTTGCAATTCAACTAAAACTAAGGGTTTGATGACATCACTTATCGTGAAGGGCTGTATGTGGTAAAATATTTTGCGATAAGTGATGTATCAAATATTTATTGGCACTTTATTAGTACATGGGTATTGCTTTAAATTCCCTAAAGCATGTACATGTTACTCTTAAGGCAAGCAGCCTTGCAAATTTGAGGTATATCTGAAAAATTATATTGAATGATGTTATTATTTAATTGTAGATGTATCCTGATCATGAAATCACCAATATTGTAGAGACATCTTATTGGGTAACAATCTCTGAATGGCCAGATAAGAATGGTAAAAAGACACACTCTCATAAAGTACGACCATACAGATGTATTGGTGAGTTTCATTGATTTATTTATAATTGTGAAAAGTGAGAGTGAATTTGAATTTTTTTCTAAGGAATGAAATTTTGTAATGCTAATGGAAGAAAAAATAGTGTCTGCTCATTAGGTGTCAAAAGTTTGAATCGTCTGAAGACTTGAAACATTACTGATACCAAATACCAAATTCTGAGCATATAAGAGTTAATAGGTTGTACAAAAGATAAAGAGTAAACCCATGCCAACCTTCTTTAAATAATATCTTGGTGATTTTATCATCTGAACATGTCCTGCCCACTATTATACCACCACAAAACTTCATGTGTCATATCAGTAGGTAATTCATGGTAAGATTACTGAAATATAAAAGCTGGGAATGGCCACATTTCTTGAAAATATAGAATAAATACGTCATATTTCAAAACTCTCTATTTCTGAGTGTAAAAACCTGTATGAAACCATTTCTTTTCAAAGATTCTAGTGAGAGTGAGAACAAATTAAGCACTGAAAACATATCCAAGCCGTGGTAAATATAATAATCTATGAAACAAAAGAATCGACTGGGTTGTGTTAAACAAATTTAAACTTTAATTCCAGTAGCTGTCAGTCAAATAGAATATTATTGATTTTTAATCGGCATGTCTTGGTATTCTAACAGGAAACCTTACATAAACTACAGACCAATAGATTTTAATTAGAAAATCTACTTCACTTGACTTTCCTAGTGCTGGGCCAATATCTCACTGACTTAACTTGATGGACAAATAATGTGGCAAGGAAAATGTCAAAGCAATTTAAAAGCTGGTGATTATCTGAAACTGAATGGAGAAAGCAAGCAGTTTTTATCAGATTTATGAGCTCTTGTCAATTCCAGTCCAGCTTTTGTAAATTAGTTTTAGGGCGTCTCTGTATTATGTTAGTTGGTGCATAGATAACTGAAAATTGATGATTAACCAAAATCCTGAGTGTGTAATAGTTACTTATAAACTATAAACCCTACAAGAAAAACACATAGTAAAATATTCTGGGACATATAGGTTTTCACTTATAATGCCACATTTTCAACTTGAAATATTACAAAACAAAAATGTTATCAAAGTATGTATTTTCCTTGAAAAAGATATAGTGAAACAGGGGTGCAGTAGGCATTTAATTATATTAGTTCAGTTACTCTTCACACAGAAGATGTTATTGCTTCAGCAAAACTCAGTCTCAGACAATAGCTACATGAAAAGTGTAGGTGAGAATAATCATAAGACAAACACAGTCTCACAAGTACCCCTGAGAGAACTATAAATTATGAAATGGAATGACAATCATTAGAGACAGTCTGGTCTAGACAGTATGTTAAATATTCTGCTTTTATAACATTAAATACCTTAAGAACTACCAAGTGCTTAATATATTTGTGGCACCAAGGAATCGTGTAAGTGATATGATTTCAAATCAGTACTGCTTCAAGAGACCTTGCGATAAAGAAATCCAGCTAAACCACAAATAATAAAAATTAAACATTCAAAAATCAAGGAACGGAAGGAGGAAGGAGAACTTGAACTACTACATTAGTATTGTAAAGCTTATAAGAGTGACGCTTCTGAAATTTATATAATACACTTTTTAATTTCTGAACTACAAGATCAGTTTGCTATTCCTGTACAATGTAATTTTCTCATATCATTACAGTGAGGTTTTTCTCTCATCATTTTAATGAAATTTCTTTCCTTCTACATTGTCATAAAAATCTTCTTGACAATAGAGAGATAACATGACATTTATTTTCTAAAACAAACAGCATGCAGGCCTATCAAATGATAAATTATTGGTTCTTAAATTTGTTTTCATTCTAGCTGTTAATGTTGATGTATGTTCAAGTTACTGTGGTAAAATAAATTACATATATTTGAAAGGGCTTCTGTCTAAAAAATTCCTGATTCATGAGAAAATTATTCATGCCTTGAAGGGATCAACCCCAAGACACCTTTTTGCTGAGCACAAGAAAGCTGACTACCTTAATGTACATACACCTTTGGGTCCTCACTTAAAAACTTTGATGTATATTCATTATCATTAATCACAGTAATATAGTGTAATAACTAATTACATGATTTTCTTTTAAATGTGTAAAATTCTATTTGTACTATAAAATGCTATCAAAAGTGCCAGAATTTTATATAGTTGGGTGTCAAGGTAAGGGTGTGGTGTATAGCCTACCTCACAGTTAAGATAGGATGGAATTATGTAACATATTTTAACAATACTTGAAAAGAAATGAAATATATTGTAAAATAACATTGTAATCAATACCAGCTACATTCCTAATAGTGACGCACAAACAACATACAAAATATAATTATTATTTAAAATACAGTCAGTATAGTCTATACTGAAAGAACTCCTCTAATACAAAAATAGAATCTTATGAAAAGCAGTTTCAAGTTAAAAAGAATTTCATCAGAAAAACTCATGAAAGTTAACAGTATTGTTGATTATGCCCCTCATTTCATACAGAAATTACATTTGATTTTATTTTAATGTCCTGTTCATGTGCACTGTAGTATTATGAAATGTATTTTTATATCAGAAAAAGAGAAGATCAGACACCCACAATGACAGAAAATTGAAATTTTTCTAAATATAGCTCTGTCATTATTATTCTGGAATTGATCCAGAGATTGAATTTCAGATAAAATAAATGATATTATCATCTTCATATAAACTTCCACATTCTTCATATTTTGACATTATTTTAGGTGTTAAAGATTATTTATAGTTCTTAAAAAACACAAACAACAAATAAACTTGTTATCATCTACATTGTTGACTTGTGTGTTTCTGATTAGAAGAAATACAGTACTGTATACAGTTTTCAGAGTACTAGATTGATATTCATTTCCATCTTGAATGATCCTGGACAACTTTCGTATGTACCGCATTGGTTTTGTCAGCTTGTGGATTTTTGATTTGGATAGGCATTTGAAAGTCCCCTTAAATTTCTGCCAGCTTTTGAACCTAGACTTATGGAATGTGTTTCAGATAGAAATTTTTATCTAATTCTAACATTTCAGCAGTATTTAATGGATAAATATAATACAAAGTTAACATACAAATGTAATGCCACTTAAACTGCAGGTTTCTGTTCTATCTTATTTAATTGATGCTTGTGAATATTTCATCTGACATTTTCCATTTAGATACAAAAAATGGTTGATGTACATTTTGGCTGGATTCCAAATATTCTAGCTCTATGTATGTTGTGTGGTAGAATCAGTCTGGTCTATAATATGAAAACCTATGATATCGAATTTGTAGTTTCATAAGAGTTCAATTCTCTGTCAAATATTACATTAGAAATCTTTATCTCATGATCAGATTAATGGTATGGCTGATATTCATCTGTGTCTTTCATGGGTTTTTCTCTTACATGTTACATTACATACCAAATCTGATTGGCAATGTTAATGATTAGTCGTGAAAAAGCTAGATATTGAATATCATATGTGTGCTACCATCATGACAAATTTCCAGCATTGCTCTGATGTATCATGATCAATTGTTCATATGTCAGGTTTTGATGTTGGATTAAGGTGGCTATGATCATCTTCCCCTGAAGTAAACCATTGTGTATGTCAATTATTAGACTAGTCTTCCTCTCTGGAGAGTTCACAATATTGTTATTATAACTTTGTTATTTTAATGTTTAAATATTTATATAAAATTTCAACCTAGAGGAACATACAGCCTCTATAGAATCTACACTAATAAAATATAGTTTATTACACTGGATCAACCAGGTTTCTGTTAACATTAAATACCCTGTACTGTGCAAATATTCTAAATCAAGTATAGTTGTTGATCTTGTCTCAATTGATATAAATAATTACACAATACAGAACATAGGCCAACTAGGTAGGCTAATATTGAAATACATTCAGTAAACCTACATGTTGTGTTGCAAATGATATCAGTGGGTTTGTTGGATGGATGGTGGAACAAGCTATATGATACCTGTGGTTATTTTTTTATTTTGAGCCATATTCTTCAGATATGTAGACATCATTTGGTATTACATCTTTATTAACATGTAAAAAATGCCTATCTGAAAAGCTCCTTTCCGTGAGGGTGTTCCAAATACTGAATCTTGTTGGCAAAAGTAAGGTTTTTGAAAACTTCAACAAAAGCAGACAATTGAACATGAGTGATAAGAAACTCCAACCATGCATGGCTGATCATTAACAGCCCTACTGTGACTTACTGTACCATAAAAAATAAAAAGTTTGAACATACCTGCTGAAGGCAGTTTAAGTATTGACAGTGTAACCTAGTCATTGTAAGTGTGTTATAATGAGAAATAGTGACAGTGATATATATTGACAGATATTAATTAGATATATCAATTAGTAAATGATGATATATTATAATATACCTTGTGGTCATTATATATTATATTGTTATAACGAATCTTTGACAGACCAACTGTACCTCATATTGACATATTTATACAGGAGTAAGACAGGTGTAAAGATGAACATTGTTGAATGATTGGAAACATTTAACTCATTTAGGGGGGCTCTCTTGAATTCGAAGAATAGACTACTCTTGTTTGTGGCAGAAATGTCTCCAGAAGTGAATTAATGTCTTGACCAATTTTTAATGCATATCATTTTCATGTATTTTCAGAAATTCTTAAGCAACAAATTATAAAGCTGGTAGCCATTGTTTTTACTCTGGCAAATTAATACTTGCTAAGTCTATAAGAATTCTATAGTCCTAATCGATTGACAATAATACCTAATTGAATTTTTATGTTCTAATGAAATATGACCTAATACTAGAATATTTAAAACTTAATATTAATATGATAATATGATTGTTCTTGGCCTGTCTGTTTTTTAATCATGATAACAGCAGATATTGATTTTATTTCAACTTGGGACTGATTGTGTTTTATTCTAATCAAACAAACTAGTGCAGCTGACAGCTATATTGAGCACTGGCAAAACAAACTATATTAATCAG